GGAGCAGTCTCGGGACTTCATCACGGCCCGGTGTGGCAGAGGGGAGGCTGCCGCTAAGGCCTTGGACACCTCCACACAGAGACAGAGACAGACGCGTCCCCTGGGCACTGAGTACACAGACTAAGGGAGGGGCCGGCTGCCTGAGCATCCGTGCGCCAGACCTCCGGAGGAAACCACTCACCTTAGCAATCGCCCCGCCCCCCTGCCCTTTTTTTAAAGCAGTACTTGGGTTTGAACTTACGGTTTTGGTTTTGTGCTTGCTATGCAAGTATTCTTACCACTTGGGCCATGCCACCATACTTTTGGCTGTGGTTAGTTTTAAGATACGATCTCTTTTTTTGGGGGGGGGTTGGTCAGGGCTTGAACTCTGGGCCTGGGCGCTGTCCCTCAGCTCTTCAGCTCAAGGCTAGCACTCTACCACTTGAGCCACAGCGCCACTTCTGGTTTTCTGCTGCTTCATTGGAGATAAGAGTCTCACGGACTTACCTGCCTAGGCTGGCTTTGAACTGCGATCCTCGGCTCTCAGCCTCTGATAGCTAGGATGACAGGTGTGAGCCACTGGTGCCTGGCACGATCTCTCTTTGACCCAAGCAGATGGGTCCATGGTCCTCTCACTGGTGCTTCCTGCCATTATGGGGATGGAAGGCCCACAACACCATGCTGGCTTTCTCTGTGGAGATGGGAGGCTTGTGAACTTTGTGCTGGGGCTTGTGGAACTATGATCCTCCCAATTTCAAATTCCTGCATTGCTGAGATTACAGGCATGAGCCAGGGCACCCTGGCCATGGCATTTTTGTGCTAAATCAGAGAAGAGAAGGACCTTGGTCCCTGGAATAAGTGCCAGTGCCCTCCACAGATAGTGTACAGACTCCGCTTGCAGAGACACACTGGTTCTGGAAAACTTGTTGCCAGATGCATGCATTCCTGCGAAAGGAGTTGGGTGTCTTAGTTAAACTATAGCTAGTTGTTAGGCTCTGTAAATGGCCCTTTCTCTTCCATCTTGTCTGCCCTAGGCTGGATGGGGCCACAGGCTCAGCATCCCAGGCTGTCTGTGCTTTAAGCCAAGCGTCCCCTGCGGCCGCCCGGCTCAGGCACCAGAGCCACATTTCAGGTTGTGGGAAGGCCCCCTAGTGCAGGCTCATCGCCACCCATAACCCTTGACATCTCGTAGGGGGCCGGGAATGTGACCCATCTTGAGTGGCATGTCCCAGCCCACAATCTCACCCCTGAAAGGAGTGAGAAGGGGGCCTGGATGCACACCGGGGGACAGAGGCCCTCCGCTCTCTGGCTTGAGGCTCAGAGCCTGGCCTGGAGCAGGCGCTGGCCCTGGAAGGTGAGCAGTGGGCTCCCAGCAGGCTGTCTGCCGCGCTGGGTCGCGGAACTCAGCACACAGTGGCCAGGACTTTCGCACACCCAGACTGCAGCCCGCGCCTCCCCAGGGAGCTCACGGAACGGTAGGCAGGAAAGAGCATTTGGAATAAATAATTGAAAATCTAGTTATTATATCCTTGGGTGGTGATGAAGAGGCTGAATTTTTAGCAGGAGGGGGAAAGGGAAGAAAGCCTAACAAAAATTGAGGTTAAAGCCTAAGTAATGTACATTTACACTTGGCTCCAGGCGGGGGAGCTGGTGATGAAATGCTCTGCGCCGTTTCCTGTTTAATTTTTGATGCAAAGCCATCAGGGAGTCGTTCCCCTTCACTCTCAATTTCAGGGGTCCTGGAACCTGGCATTTCTCTGCGGTAATAACCTGCACGTTCCACTCTGATTGATGGGTGCAGATGGAGTTGCAAGCGGGGAGGCTTTCCTGCAGCCCACCGCCTGGGCGCCTGCCACCCGAGGCCCGCTTCCTAAAAACCCGCTCTTCCAGGCAGTGACTCATCCAAGCAGCCAGAAGCTGAGAAAGTCCCCTGCGCCACAGACCTGCGCGGCGGCCAGACCCTCCCCCACGCCGCGCCGCCGCCACCTCCCACCCCGGCTCCCGCTCCCTCCTGGGTGCCAAATGGAAGAACTGGTGGCTGCAGTGGCCCACCGCCACTGCCTCGGCTCCAGCTTTTATAGGACCTGCCTTCCCACTCATCTATAGCTGAGAATCCCAAATTAAAACTGCAAGTTTGATAGGATTTTGTCTGATTCTGTGCTCATCAGAGAGCTAAGTTCTGCGAGAACGGGATTGGCACCATTTGGGAGTTTGATGGGAACAGAGAAGGGGTCCGACCCTCCCCAGGGTGCCCAGCTCTCCATCCCCGGGCTCTTTCCACTTGAGGAATGGGCACTGGGCGGACTTTGTCTTCGATGTTGGCAGCCAGCCTGATCTCAGCCTCTGGCTCTGTAGCCCTCTGCTCACCTCTCTGCGCCAGCCCCAGTGCCCGCTCTCCACGTCCCCACCCATCCCTCCGCCTCCAGAGCGCAGAGCCTCTGAGCTGCTCTTCTGATGCAGGAAACGTGGGGCCGGGGCTCAAGTCCTCCCAGGGTGGGAATCAGGCTCGCGTGAGCTCTAGGACCTCAGAGAACTGCCGGAGCCTTACAAAAGGGCTCTTTCCGCTTCCTGACTTGGAGAACATGCTAGACATTTCAGTTCTGAGCTGTAAGAAGAAATATACATATGCTTTACCTTCACAAACAGACCCAAAGGGGCCCGGCCTGGGCAGTGCCGTCTGGAGGGCACGCTGGGTTCCAACTGCCCAGACTTGTGCTGTGCTCTTCTCTAAGTTGTACACGCTGTTCTAACTCCTGAAATAGATTAACTTCCAGGCATCCTCAGCCGAATTGCAGTGTCGTCTTTTGCTTCTGTCTCCACGTAGTAGAGCAGAGCACCCTCCTCCTGCAGGAGGTCAGAGGGCACAGCACATGTGAGCTGTTTACCGTCTGTGTTTGGAACCCCTTCTAGATAGTTCCTCCTCTGGCCTCCGCTCTGGGGCCGGTCAGATCTTTGAAACTGAAAAGGAGTTCTGTGTCCAGCTTTAGGCTTTATGTCACTTTTAAAGATTATATTTCTACTTAAGCAGTTGTACAAAGGAGTTGGCATTCAACAAATGAGTTTGTAAGTGCGGTGCATCTTGATCTGTTTTCCCAGCACTTCAGTTCCTTGCTTTCCTTCTGGATTTAAATTTTTTCCATTCTTGTTTTGGTCCTTTATTAAGACATAGAGAAAATGTGCCCTTTTACCTGCCAGCGTGCAGTCTCATTAGTCTAAATAAAAATCACAGGGAACTCTGAGTCTCAGGAAATTACTAGCGAGAAGAGACTGTCATTCCAGAAACGGACTCTGTTGTGCTGATCATCATGCTGCGTTCCCAGGAGCGTATTTCTCAAAGAAGGGAGGGCCAGGCCCGGAGCCTCGCCTCGGTGTGGGGATTGGTGCCTCCGGGTCGGCGCCCGTGCAGACAGGAAGCTCCTCCTTGAGAATTCACGTTGAATGCTGGGGTGGCCCGGGCTGGCCAGAGCTGCTCTCTGTACCTGAGGCCCCGCCAAGCTTTTGCCCCCCCACCCCAGGGTCTCACAAGGACCCCATGCCGGGCACCGCCGCTTCCCACTTGCGCTGTGGTGAAGCTGGCCCTGAGCAGGCTGCAGCCCGCAGTCCTGCTGGGTAGTCCCCAGGGAGCATCCCCCAAATGGTCACCTAGTGCTCAGAGAAGAGCGTGGAGCGCAGGGCCTGGAGCTGGGTGTGAGGTGCTTTCCTTCTCTCCACCCCTGCGAGCGGTTGCTCTGAGTGCCGGAGGAGAGAGCGGCTTCCCTTCTTTCTTCATTCTCCTTCCACAAGCGTTTGCTGGTGACTTGGGTCTGTCCCTGAGCGTGGGCCACTGGGACTGCCGGACCCGGACCTGGGCGCCCAGTGGGAGTGCAGTGCTGCGGGGTGAGCGCCGTCGGGCCTCAGCCAGTACAGGGGGCCTCCCACCAGCCCCCGCTGCAGCCTGAGAGTGCTGGTAGCTCAGATACTCTGGCAGGTCCCGGGGTGGGGTTGGGAGCGTTCGTCCGTGAGCAGTGGGAGGGCTGCCCAGGCCACGGCCGCATCTGCCAGTGGAGAGCACATTCCCTGTGGGGGGCTCTGCAGGGTGGGAGAGGGGTGTTCCCCTTCCTCCCCCACCCCTCCTACCCCCGGCTGCGGCAAGGGAGGCTGGCAGCATGGCGGAGAAGGCATGGCCCTGGTGCTCTGCCACCTGCCCGCCCTGCTGCTGGGGCCTTGCGGAGCCACGGGGCCGGGGGTCGCAGCAGGAAGTGGGGTTGTCCGCCTGTGTGGTGGCGTGCTCTGACAGGTGACCAGCCGTTGCCTGTCATTTCTGGGGTCCCTTGTTGAGGCCTTCCTGTGTGGCTTTAGCCCTGGGAGCCAACCTCCCTGCCCTGCTCTGCTCTGCCCCTCCCTCAGACCTCCGGCCGAAGCGGGCTGGCACAGCCAGAGCCTTATGTAAGAGCGGCCAGCCCGCGGCCAGCCATCGAGTCTGCTCCCCAGTTATACAAGGATGCGTGTATGAAGCTGCACAAACCATCTTGCAATGTCTGAGTGTCTGGAGAAGGCAGCCTGGGGGCTGGCTTGAGATTGGAGCTGGCTGTGGTGTCTGTGGCCTGACTTCACACTGCCCCGTGCTGCCCACGCGGCCCATGCCCATGGTGTCCTCGTGCCGAGAGGCTGGTGACACAGGGTCTGTCTCCCTCTGCCTCAAACATCCCAACAGCTTCCCCAGCCTGGGCGCTGCACGCAGGGATCTGGGACCCGCCGTGGAGGGAGGCCAGGCTCCTTGGCCTTTCTTGCTTCGTTGTAGAGAGAATGGATGCGACGCACCAGGTGTGGGGGCCACAGCACCAGCAGTGCCCATGCAGGGACCTGGCTGGGTTCTCCTGACCTTTCTCCAACTGACTCAACTCTGGTGGCTCTGGCAGAGCTGGACCTCGCTCCAGGGCCTCCGCAGATCCTGCCGCGTGCCGTTCAGGGCTCCTCTCCCTGCAAAACCCCTGCTCCAAAGCTGCTCACTCATGCAGGGGTGCCCTGTGTTCTCTCCCCAGGCAGGCCTGGGACCTCGCGGTGGACATTTGCCTCTCCCAGCTGCCCACCATCATCGAGGAAGGCACCGCGTTCAGGGTGAGTCCCCTCTTCCCTTCCTGGGGCTCTGGGGTGGTGCAGGCATGGTTCACTCACCTGGAAGAGACTGGAGCTAACCAGAGTAGAGACCGGGTCAGCCGGTGTTCAGGCTAGACTGAAACGGGCAGTGTGTGAGTTGTTCTCAGAAGTCTGCTTTCTTGGTATGGACCGCCCTGGTGGGTGGGGGCAGGCGATTCTTGCAGCGCTTCTGGGTGGGGAAGCAGCACGCCGTGGGCATCTGGGACAGCCTCCCTGAGCCTCTGCCTCACTTGAATGGTGAAACTTTTTTCTGTTTTATTTCTCCCTTTTTGGGGGGAGTGGGGGTAGGGTGTGTGTGTGTGTGCGTGTGTGCGCGTGTGTGCGTGTGTGTGTGTGTGTGCGTGTGTGTGCATGCGCGCGCTTGCACGTGCACGCATGTCAGCAAGGCTTGAACTTAGGCCTCGTGTGTGCTGGGTAGGCATCCTACCACCTGAGCAACACTCAGACCTTTTCGCTTCCCCCCTCCAGCATACCACCACCACCACCAATCCTGGCAGAGCCAGGGTGGCAGGCGTGCACCACCGCACCCATCTAGCTGTGGGCTCGGATAGGGTTTCATTTGCCTGTGCTAGCTTCAAAATGTGGTCCTCCCGATATCAGCTGCCCAGGTAGCTGGGACGACAAGCGTGAGCCACCATGCCCTCTACAGGGAGATGTTCTCGTGGATTTGTGCGCACATTGCAGGCTACCCGACTCTGTGCCTTGAAGGGGCACTAGGTGCTCTTCCCTCGGTTCCCCTTGTCTCCCCTACATTTGGGGGCAGGAAGACGTCCATCGCAGAGCTGTAGCGCACCGGGGAGGGTGGCAGTGACGCAGGCCAGATGCCATGCCGGCTGTCCACTCACCTTCCACCCCACACACCGGGCGCTGGGCTCTCTCCAAGGAAGGGCGGGGCCTGCTGCCGCAGGCACATCTGGAAGGCCTCCCAAGCCCGGGGTCTGCGCTTCCCAGAGCCCCATGCTCTCCATGAGATAGCACTCTGCCCCGTGCACGCACCAAGTGCTCAAAGACCATCTGCATCGTGTCTGGGCAGCCGTCAAATTGGGGTGGGGTGTCGGCGAAGGAAAGAGCCCTGTGTGGACCCTTACAGCTTTTTTTCTTTGCTCTTTTTGGAAATATAGCATAATAAGAAAAATGACACGTATTATAAATGAGCTTGGCGAGGTTTTGCCCGTCCACACGCGCAGGCGATCAGCACCCAGGCTGAGCAGCAGCCAGCCCAGGCCCCTGGCCTGCCTCTCCGCACCGGGACTCGTGGACCTTCGGAGTACGGGCTCCATGCCCCTTGCTCTCACTCGACATCCCACCGGCTCCAGGCTCCCAAACCCAACCGTCAGATCCACAGGCAGTAGAGGTTACCGTGGAGCCTGAACTCAGGGCCTTCTCCTTGTGAGGTCCCTGAGGCGTGCCTCTGTAACTGGTCTTTTATTTTTTGGCCAGTCCCTGAGCGCTGTCCCTGAGCTTCTTTGGCTCAAAGCTAGCACTCTACCACTTGAGCCACAGCACCACTCCTAGCTTTCTTTGTTTACATGGTACTGAGGAATGGAACCCAGGGCTTCATGCATGCAAGGCAAGCGCTCTACCACTGAGCCACCTTCCAGTCCTGTACTGATCATTTCTGAGATGAGGCCTAAGCTCCATTTTAGGTAGTAACTAGGATGATGATGCCTGGCTCTCAGGTAAGAAAGGGTCTTGTAAACTTTTCTGCCTTGGCTGGCCTCAAAGCACAGGCCTCCCAATCTCGGCCTCCCAAGGAGCTGGGATCACAGGTGTAAGCCACTGGTACCTGGCCCAGTGGGAGTTTTGAGTTTTCTGTTTGAGGTGTTCACAGTCAATCAGAGCTGGCTGCCTTTGGCCCAAGCATAGTAGAGTCTGAGACTAAAAGCAGAATCATTCACTCAGCCTATCTCAATTTGAAATAATAATTATTCGCTGCAGGATGCATTCGAATATTTTTGTCACTCCCTACTCCCCAAAGTTTGTGCCTGCTGAAAAATGCCTCATTCCCCTGACCCCGAGCCCTGGTTCTACTGGGGCTACCGACATTTCTAGACAGTGCTCCACGGGGGACATCCACTCTCACTCCTCCCACCACGGGTGATCTCCTGTGGGTCGGGTGCTCGAGCCCTGTGTCTGCCCTAGTCTTGTGTGCTGTGGCGCTTCTGCGTATCGGCCCATTTGTTCCTTGTCCCTTTGCCCCATGCGCTGAGTGTCTTTGCCTACTCTGGGGCTTGCTTCTCCCCTTCTTATTGTTGTGAAGGTGGTGTCCAGGGGGTTTACAGTAAGTCAGGAAAACACATTTCTTTTCAGATGGTGTCGCCACCCCCCCACTCTCTCCTGGCTTTTCCCTCCACTCCTGCCACGAGTTGTACAGTTCATTTCCAACACAGCGTCTGGTGGTACCACTGCTGCATTTGTTCACCCTTTTCACTCCCTCACACTTTTGTCTTAGTGAACAGAAATCAGCTTTTTTGCTTTTATGGTGAGGGCCCTTGATGCCGTCTTTGCAGCCATCCTGCAAACGCCCAGGTAAACGCCCTGAGGAGCTGCTCGCTGCCAGCGTCCTGCGTGGTGTGCGGTGGGCCCAGAGCATCCGCTCCCCGCGTAGCGCCCGGCTCGGTGGCGCGCTGCCTTGGACCTGACGGTGCCTGTGTGAGGGCCTGCCACTGCTCTTCTCTGTCCGTAGGCCATTGTCCTTCCCTTGCCCCTGCTCCAGCCCCATGCTGTCACAGACCCTCCGCTGCAGCCGGAGGCCTCTGGCTTTGTTCCTGTCTAAGATTGCCTTGGCTGCCTTGGGGCCTTCAGATTTTCATATGGATTTTATGATCAGCTTGTTGGATTCCTACGGAGAGCCTGCTGGGACCTGGGTTGAGATTACCATGAATCCACATGAGCGGAGACGTCAGCAGCGTCTTTGTAATATTGAGTCTTTGCGTGCAAACTTCGCTGTATGAATGTGAATGTCCCTGGGAGACATGGAAGAAGCGCCTTCCTCTGAAACCAGACGCGCCTGCAGTCCAAAGAACCACACAGACTAATTCATCTCTGAGTGGAGGAGTTGCATCCAGGGTTACTCACAGATCATGCGTGTTTGCTTGTTTGGTTTTGGTTTTAATCTAAGGGCTGGCAGGGAAGGAGTAGTGATTGATGTCCTAGGACTGTACAGCAGCCTTGCCTCTGCTCCCTGGAGGAATGTTGACGTCTCAGGGTCTCTGGCCCCCAGCTGGGTGTTTGCTTCCTTTGTGTTCCTCTCGGGCTGCGGGCCTCCGGCCGCGGCCTCCGGCAGGTCACTGCAGCAGCTCCTGCCCCAAAATGGCAACAATCACGTCAAACCTAGTGGACCAGTTTTCCCACAAATTTCATTTTCTGGATTTTTTCCTTTATTAGTATTATTTGCAAGTGATTTTATAGCAACTTTCCAAACTTCTTTATTCTGATATTTTACTCATAATTTACTGGCCTCATCTTAAAACATACTTTTTTTTTTTTTAATGTCGATCGTGAGGCTTGAACTCTGGGCCTGGGCGCTGTCCCTCAGCTCTTCAGCTCAAGGCGAGCGCTCTACCACTTGAGCCACAGCACCACTTCCGGTTTTCTAGTGGTTTATTGGAGATAGGGGTCTCACGGTCTCTCCTGCCCGGGCTGGCTTTGAACCGCAATCCTCAGATCTCAGCCTCCTGAGTAGCTAGGATGACAGGCATGAGCCACCAGCGCCAAAACTTACTTTTACAGGCACACAAAAAGCCTAGTATATATCTCGCTTTTCCAAAAGTCAGTAGTTAGAAGGGACAGATTTCTAACCAGGAACCAAAGGTCTAGTTGTGTTTATGGAGTTAAGGAGAAAGGTATAGAGGGTCTGGAAGAGCCAATTCAATTAAGTCGTCTGCATGCTGTGACACACAGGGAGCAGGAGGCGCACACAGCTGTGGGCACCGGGCAGGTCACTGCTGACCCATTGTCGGGCAGCAGCACCCGACGCAGTGCCGGGACCACCCACCCAGCCACCCTAGCGGGTGCACCGCGGCCAGCGCCAAAGCCCGCCGGACTCACTCCCACTGTGGAGCAGGGCTCCGAGGCTCCAGCAGCCTCCTCCTTCACTGTCTTGCCTGTGAGCACCCATTGTTGACACCAGGCCATCTGATGCCTGAGGTGACCGCAGAGCAGAGAGGCCAGCATCAGAACCATCCTGGGAGGGCAGGCGGGCGCGTGTGAGCTGTCCGCGGAGCATCCCTTCCTGCCGTGCCCAGGGCCAGCGCGAGCCCTCATGCATGCCACCCGGGGCGGCTCTCAGAACAGCATGGGTGTGCCTGGTCCGTGCAGCTGCTCGTGTGCTGGGCAGTGACCCCCATTTGTCTACTCCCCAGCTTTCAGACACCTGACAAACCTCATAGCTCATCAGGCCGGCAAAGGGATGCTTTGCTTTTTTTGTCCATTTTAGGTGAAAAGATCAGGCGGGCTTGTCTTCTCAGCAGTGACCAGCACGTGAAAATCTATATGCAAAAACTAATTGGACAGGAAGAGAAGAGGCCTACTTGTCACGTACTGACTGGAGGTTTTTCTAAGTTGGTGTAACTGTTCTTACAGGATGTGGAGGAGGGGCACTTGATGAGATTTTTTTTAACCAATTTTGACGGCAGCGTTGCGTTGGGGGCCGAAGCTTGACAGTGCCTCTGCGTGTCTTCCTTTTATGACAGCTGACGTCACCAGGGCAGGCACTCCTAAGCGAGAGCTCCGCTGCATTCCCCAGCCCTGGCTGGGCGCCGTGGGGCTCTGGGCACCGGGTGCTCTGTGGAAGGCCAGTTGGGAGTTGGGTGCACAGCTGTGCCCTAGTGGGTGGCCTCCACCTGTGCCCCCGTCATGGACATGGAATTGCCCTGCTCTGCAGGTGGAAGGCCTGCGCATCTTCTCCTGCTCAAATACACACCCTTCATCCATCAGCCTTGTGATCCTCCTCCTGAACCCGAGCCTTTGAAGGGACACCAGGCCCTGGCATGCGGCTGAGGGCGTACTGCTGGCCTCCAGTGCTCCCCCAACGCTTCCATGCTCTTGTGTGCTGCCAGCACAGCCCTGAACCTGCCTCCCCAGTCATTCCCCCCCCAAGCCACTCCTGACCCCACGCACACACTCCCTGACTCCCTGGTCTCCTCCTGCTGCCTGCCCCGCCCTCCTGCTCTCCCCCTCCCTGCAGGAGGCCCCGGTGCCCCACCCAGCAGCACCAGCCCCTCCAGGTCTGTGCGCCTCCCTCTTATCCAGTCACCCACATGCTGCTGTCCTCCCGATCTGGAATGCATTTCCTAACCCACTTTCTCCATCCACCCCCCCCCCCCACGTGTCTCTCCTCTGGCAGCCACCTCCCAAAGAGGTGGCTCCACCTTCCCTCTTCTGTTCTGGCCCCATCCCAGCCATGCTCTTGATGGTTATGATCGGTGGCCAGAGTCATCCTAGTCTTCCCTCACCATCGGGGCATTCGGTGCTGCTCTCCCTGCAGCCCTCCCTGCTCCGGGCACCACACCGTCTGCCTGCCTTTCACTGGCCCCTCAGCCTCTGTGTGGCGGGGCCTGGCTCAGGTCCAGGTTCCCTCTACTTCTCATGCGATGTAAGAAATGAAACCTTGGGTGGGTGTGAAGGGGATCAGGAGGGTGGATGGAGAGGATGAATGCAAGTGAATGTGATCAGGAGGGTGGATGGAGGGGATGAATGCAAGTGAATGTGGCCTGATTATGTTACTGTAAATGTGCAAATAGAACAGTAAGACCTGTTGGGATTACTTTAAGAAGAAAGGGAAGGATAAGGGAGAGTAAGGGGATGAGTTTGATCGTTGCCTGTATGGAAATGTGACGCGCTCCTCCTCCCTGTACAAGCAGTGTATGCTAACAACAAATACAAACTTAGACAATTTACAAGATGATCTGGCTGGGCGTGGTGGCACACACCTGTAATTCGAGCACTCAGGAGGCTGAGACAGGCGGATTGAGAGTCCCGGACTAGCCTGGCTGCATGGTGAGGGCCTGTCTCAGAAAGAAAAAAAAAATCCGTGTGCCATGATTGACATCCCTGCTCGGATGGCAAGTGCATTTCCGCTCAGATGCGCCGTGCACCACGGACGCGATGCCTGAGCTGGCATCTTCCCCACAGGCTGCTTCTGCCCCTTGCCCACCAACCGCAGCCCATTGTCCCAGTGCCCAGGCCACAGGCCTCAGGATCACCCTCTTCCTTTCTTGCACCCTCGCTGTTGACAAAACCTCCAGCTCTGCCCAGTCACAGAGCGTGGGACCCCTCTGCCCTCGTGTGGCCCTAATCGGCTCCTGCTTATCCCACAGCACAGCCCGTTCTTTGCGGAGCAGCTGACTGCCTTCCAGGTGTGGCTTACCATGGGTGTGGAGAACAGAAGCCCCCCGGAGCAACTTCCCATCGTTTTACAGGTGAGTTGCTGCAGCCAAGGCCCAATTGGCTGAGGCCTCCATAGAAAGAGGCCAAAACAAGGATCCCAGCGAGGCTGGTTCACCTGAGGCTGCCCGAATACGCCCTGAGGTCTGTGGACGCCCAGCCGCTCCTCTGCTCCTTGTGGGGCCCAATGGTAAACACAACCCACCAGTCCAATGAGAAATCACTGGGGCCGGGTGCCAGTGGCTCACACCTGTAATCTTAGCTACTCAGGAGGCCGAGATCTGAGGATCACAGTTCAAAGCCAGCCTGGGCAGGAAAGTCCATAAGACTCTTATCTCCAGTGAACCACCAGAAAACCAGAAATGGTGCTGTGGCTCAAGTGGTGGAGTGCTAGCCTTGAGCTAAAGAGTTCAGGGACAGCACCTGTTCAAGCCCTATGAGAGACCAAAAAAGAAAAAATGTCACTGGGCTTTCCTGGTAAAGTATCGAATTCCCTTCCTCCGCCCTTCCCCAGCACTCCCGCTTATACATCAGGAACCGGTGAAGCCCTGCGGCCAGCCTGCTTCATGCCAACACCATGGTCCCCTCTGCGCAGGGACACAGATGCAAACTAACAAGCGGTGCTGAGCAGATTATGAATGGGTCACAGAGGGTTTCCTAACCGGCACCGGGGGTTACTGCCAGAGCCGCGTGTGCATCAGCCCTTTCTGGGTGTGGCGGGCTTGTCACTTTAAAACATAGGCACACCGGCACTGGTGGCTCACGCCTGTCATCCTAGCTACTCAAGAGGCTGAAATCTGAGGATTGCAGTTCAAAGCCAGCCCGGGCAGGAAAAGCCGTGAAACTCTTATCTCCATTTAACCACCAGAAAACCGGAAGTGGTGCTGTGGCATAAAGTGGAGTGCCAGCCTTACGTGAAAGAGTTCAGAGGTAGCACCGAGGCCCTGAGTCCAAGCCCCACATCTGAAAAAAAAAAAAAGAAAAAAAGACACAGGCCCCTGTGGGTGTGCCCCCGTCACATGCAAACCGTGGCGCAGTTGTGGTTTGGAGACCAGTTGTGTGTGTCCTGTCCACTGATCCTTTAGTGGCTGAAGGGGAGGGTTGTAGGGGTGGCAGGGCTTATCACAGATAATCAGTCACCGGTGTTTGTTTCAGTGAATGTGTGTTTGTGGGGAGTTGTGTGAACTTAATGAAGTTTGGAGTCATGACCAAGAAAAGCCAGTTTATGCTGGGCCAGTGGCCCGGTTTTGGAGCCACCGCCACACATAGGCCCCAGAGTCTGACAACTCACTTCAGAAGCCAGAAAAGCGTTGGTGGTGTTTGTCTTGCTTTGTTTTTTGCAGTTCTGAGATAGTGCTTGGCAGGCAAGCACTCTACCATTTGAGCCTTTCTCTTTGTCCTTGATTATTTTTCATTTGAGCCTTCTCTCTTTTTCTTTGATAATGAAGAATAATCAAGGACAAATAGAAAAGGCTCTTTTCAGATAGACTCTATCTGAAAAGAATCACTCGGGGCAAAACTTAGACTGTGATCCTCCTATGCCTCCCAAGTAGTCGGGATCATAGCCACACGTCACCACAAAGACACACGTCACCCATAGACGCACGTCAGACACGTACACTCACGTCACCACAAAGACACAAGTCAGCACTTTGCCCTGAGACTTACTGACTTAGATGGGGGCCTGTGAACTTGAGGCCTGAACTGACACTAAGCTATGTTCTTCCCAGTCTCTGCCTCCTGAGTAGCTGAGATTGCAGGCTTGAGACACCGCACCAGCCGGCAGCTGCTCCGGCAGCAGATTGAGTATGGCTGGCATGGGCACGTGGGAAGGCTCCTCCCCTGTGTGAGCGTAATGCAGCCTCTGGGGGCTTCCAGGTGGGGTACCGCCTGCTGGCAGCCGTCCCCAGCACTGATTGGGTTACTTGGCCGCCTCAAGGACATCCGCCTCACTTCCTATCAAGAAGGCTCGTGCATTGGTATTAAGACCACTAACCCCATTGTGAGGGACAGCACCCTCCATCTCCCCTGGACCAACTGCTCACGGAGTGGCTCTCGCTCCTGCCGGCCCCGCCCAGAGCTGAGGTCCCGCTCCCCACACCATGACGGTGGAAGCGCACATGTGCACGCTGTGAGGTGCAGCAGCAGCCCGTGCCCTTGGCTTCTGATCAGGTCTGTAACAGAATAAATAAATCTCCTAGTAGTTGTACCAAGGGTTTCAGTTCTACACGTCAGTGGATGAGGATGGTGCATCCTGATCCACGTCCCCCTTCCCTAAGTCTTCTCCCCTGTCCCCATCCTCTCAGTTTTCTACTTCCATTTTTGGTGCCTTTTTGTTGTTGGTGGTGGTGGTCATGGGGCCTGAACTCTGGGCCCGGGCACTGTCCCTCAGCTCTTCAGCTCAAGGCTAGCGCTCTACCACATCTCCGGCTTTTTCTGCTTATGTGGTGCTGAGGAATCGAACCCAGGGCCTCATGCATGCAAGGCAAGTGCTCTACCACTGAGCC